ACTTTTGCTAAATTATGTTCCTGCTTTTGGAAATATTATTTTTACCCTTTATACAACGTAGTACTATTTTATTCTCAGTAACCGAGGGTTATTGATTGAATAAAGTAACAGAAAAGTGTGTAATAAGTGTTTTAATGAAACGTTTTACTCAATTTCTTTTTGTTAATTAAAAGCTGCGCACAATTTTGCCCCAGCCTATGTCAGTGAAGTAAACTTATTGGACTTTATTTAGCTTGTAGACCGTTAAAATCACCAGTTGATGACCAGTTTTTGTCTGTCCCTCGGTCTCGCTGCAAATCAAAAGGTGATAGAGCTTTCTGTGATAGAGGTAAAGTTGGTTTTATATTCACACATTCGTTCATTTAGAAGTCTCTGTATTGTTTACCATGTTACTTTGACTATTAGATTGGAATGAGCACGCAAGTGTGGCTTGAAAACAACATTGACACTGTTTATTTGATTGTGAACAATGTACTTTGATAGTCATTTGCTGCTAATATGATTTTACTATTTAGAGTTTGCAAATAATACTTTTATAAAAAAAATAATATTATTAAGGGGAAAGTCAGAATGTGCTATTATAAAACCAACTTTAACTCTATGGCTCTGGAACAGTCTCCCTCTGAACATCGGGATTGCTACATCATTGGATGCTTTTAAATCTAACTTAAAGACTTATTTTTACTCTCTTTCCTTTGAGTGACAAATGCATGTTATTTTTTATTTGTATTTTAGTATTACTTTTAAACATACATTTTTTTGTATTTTTAATACTAGTTTTTTTGTTTTATTGTGTAGTTTATTTTATTGTAAAGTACTTTGGATCAACCACGGTTGTGTAAAATTGTGCTCTATAAATAAAGTTTGCCCTGCCTACAGTGGCAAAAAAGCTAAACAAAAGACTTTTATTTTGGCGTGACGTGACGTCATCAGGCGGCGCCGCTACAGCGCGGTGATTCAACTGGAGAAAGGTTTGCTTTAAAAGTTTTACAGATATAACCCGATTTAAAGTTAAAGTTCTAAAGTTTTAGGGTTTTTATACGATTCTAAATTATGTTCCTGCTGTTGGAAATATTATTTTAACCCTTTATACAACGTAGTACTATTTTATTCTCAGTAGTCGAGGGCTATTGTTTGACTAAAGTAACAGAAAAGTGTGTAATACGTGTTTTAATGAAACATTTTACCTGATTTATTTTTGTTAATTACTCTGATTAAAATAAACTGTTGAAGCAAGTGTTGAAGAGAAGTTATTTTATTTCTGTTCATTGTTTTATAAATTTTCAACAGGACATTTTTATCGTTTTGTTCCTTTTAAACAGGATAAAGTGTCAAAACACAGAGGAAAATCTCCTGCTGAAGCGACTGATCTCCACACTGTTATAAAGATGGCGTTTATTAAAGAGGAGAGTGAAGATGTGAAGATTGAAGAAACATTCACAGTCAAACAGGAAGATCTGCAGGAACAAACAGGTTGGTTTTCATTCTCAAAGACCAACTCAGTCATTTGATTCTCATTCAGATATATTTTAATAATAAGAATACTGAATTAAAACCATCTTGCAGCCCTGAGTGTGCTGCCTAGTTCTCCTAAATGCACATAAGCACGCATTGAAAGACAGAAATGAGTTTCTTTTTTGTTACTTGTTCTCATGTCTTTTGAAATTATTGTATGTATTATTAGTCTCCCATTTTCTCTACCTTCTTAAGGTTATTGCTTTTCAAACAAAAAATTTAAAATCTTTAGCTAGAAATATATAAAATACATATAAAAATTATTTATTTATTTATTATTGTTTATATATATATATATATATATATATATATATATATATATATATATATATATATATATATATATATATATAATTTATAATTTTTTTCATTTATTTTTTTATTTTTTTAATGGGGCAAATAAAAATCTTTTCCATCTAGACCATTGGAAAAATTCTTTAGCTTTATCCCTTTATGGGTCTTAAATTTCATTCATAATGGTCTTAAAAATGTCATAAAAAGAAACCTGCAGAAACCCTGGTTTACAGTTTGTCAAATGATGTGGATGCCCCCAATATTAAATATGCTAAATGAAATGGACACTACAATAATTGTTATAAAACATTGTACAGTATTCTAAGCTATAAGATGTTGCTGTGGGATGACGTGAGACAAAACAAACTAAATATAGTGGAACAATAACGTTTAGCATTGCACTGACTAGTGTGAAGTTCGTCAGTATTGACCAAATTCTTCATGTACCAGCAGGCGTCGCCATTGGAATCTTTTTGCTTGAGACTTTTTTTAAAGAATTTATTTTTAGATCCTTAAAACAGGGTTATTCTGCTTAGGTATGGAACGATAACCGTTTTCAAGGTATACCACAGTACGACAGTATATGTAAGGTTTTTTTTTACATTTTGTTATAAGTTTTTCAGGACAACAGTATCTCCAGCATAAAATATATCCAAAGATGCCATTTTAAAATGTAAAGAAATCTGTGTTTTTGAAACGAATGATTCATTTGAATGATTCAGCCTGATATGTTTACTGCCCCATAATACTTTCTCCCCCGGTTTCACAAACAAGGTTTAAAGGCTAGTCAAGATTAAATTGCATGTTTGAGCGGTCTCAACTCAAAATAACTTTCCGTGAGATAAAATACATCAGTTTAATTTTTTCTCCAGGTGCACACCAGTAATATATTTTACTAAGGCCATTTTTATAAATTTGGCTTAAATAGCCTAATTTAACTAAGGACTAATCCCAGCTTAATCTAAGCCCTGTTTGTGAAACTGAGCCTCAAAGTTTCTTAAAAGAAAATATATTGTGTTCAAAGGGAAAAAGTTCTTGTTTTTTTTTTTTACCCAGAGATTAAAAAGAATACATTTTAGAGCAGTAATCACAATACAATGAAACTGTGATATTTATATCCAAGCTTATCATACCGTCAGAATCTTATACTGGCCCATGTCTAATGCTGCTTGATGTTGCAAAGTCGTATTTTCTCATTTTATTATTTTTCTTTGTATGAATAGTCATGAACACATTTGTTTGTAGAGCAAGTAGCCATTTATTATTCCAGGTCATTTCTCCAATAGGCAACTAAATTGGAGGTTCTAAAACAATACCATATACGATCAGGTCACTACTATGGCCCCATTTACACTAATGCGTTCGCATTCATCAAATTTGCTTAAACCATGCGTTCTTAAGTATGGCTATATTTCACAAGGATTCTGACAAAGCAACGCGCTGTACAAAGCAGGCGCTGTACAAAATTTGCGTTTAAGGAGGAAACACATCAAACTTAATAAAACATTTGAGCGCACATGGAATCATCTTAAAGGCAGACGAATGCAGATGTCTTGGACAGCTCGCGACATTATCTGGCACTTTCACTGAGTACATTTATATGGACACCAATACTCCCATTTTAATATGATTAGTACTCTTATTAAGAGTCTACCATGTAAACAGTTTTTTTTTTTTTTTTTTTATTACCTTAAAGGAACACTGAGTCACGAAATGCGGAGGTTTTTCTTTCCGTTCGGTATGTGGTATCAATTTCTATTACAGCAAAAGTCTAAAGATTAAAAATGAAACGTACTAAATTAGATGTAATGCTGGAAAGCCTGGTAATGCGACATTAATTGTTTTATACTGAAATGTTCCTTCCAAAAGTGCTTCCTTGGTCTTATGCATATTTCTTTGCATGACTACAACTGGAAGTATAACAGCAACTGCAATCATTTTTAAAAAACATTTTATATATATATCAAATTAATTGTTAACGCTCTAATTTTATAAAATGTCACCATATAGGTCTTCAGCTAAGCCTCCGGACATACACAAAGGCAAGAAAACTGAGACAAAAGTACAAATGAATGAAAACAAGTAGCAAAGTATGTCATCTTGCCATATTCTCATCACTACAGTTTAAAGCAAATGTGACATTAAGCATTTGCATAAGTTCATTCATTCATTTTCCTTTAGCTTAGTCTCTTTATTCATTAGGGGTCACCACAGCGGAATGAACCACCAACTTATCCAGCATATGTTTTAAACAGCGGATGCCCTTCCAGCTGCAACCCAGTAGAGGGAAACATTTGCATAAGTTATATACAATAATGCAAACTCACAAATATAAGCTCAATTATCCGTAATTGCTATGAACATGCAGGATTTGTCTCAACAAGGTCTTCCAAGCATGTTAAAAATGTTGAGTGGAAGATACACATGAGGGAACACAACAGGAGTAATCTAGACCGAGTGCATTTGATCATTTGCATTTAAAGCCACAGGCACAAAAAGAGCTTGGTTTATCTCTGACCCCCAAAATTAAATATTCTGCAAGGTATATGATCTGATTTTGAGCTGAAAGCCCAGACCCATTCTGGAAACATTAAAGACTTACTTTACATCCTGTAAAAAAAGGTTCATAATAGGAACCCTTTAAAGGGGTAGTTAATGCAGAAATGAAAATAGCCTCACCATTTACTTCTCCCTCGTGTGGCTTTAAATCTTTGAGTTTCTTGATTCTGCTGAACACAAAAGAAGATATTGTGAAAAACATGCTGGCTTACTTTGTGTTCCAGAAGAAAGGAAATATTTAAAAGACGCAGAGTAAATGGTAAGGTCATTTTAATTTTTGGGTGAAACATCCATTCCATGCTTGTCGCTTAGTGCCTTAATACTAAAATTCACTTTTTTTTTTTTTAGACCTGATGGTGCTGAAAGAAGAGACTCAACAATGGAATAAAATGGAAGAGCAACACCAAGAAATAACAGCTGATGAAAAACCCACACTGACTGAAAAGACTTCATCACTCGGAAGATCTCGGAAATCCAAAACTGAGTGTAATTTCAGCAGTAAACAGTGTAGTAAGAGTTTCAGTCAAAAGCTTAACCTTGGTGTTCACATGAGAGTTCACACTAGGGAGAAACCTTACACTTGCGAACAGTGTGGAAAGAGTTTTGGTAAAAAAAAAAGCTTCAAAACCCACATGAGAATTCACACTGGAGAGAGACCGTACACATGCCAAGAGTGTGGAAAAAGCTTCTGTCAAGCAGGAAACTTTGCAGTGCACAAAAGAATTCACACTGGAGAGAGGCCCTACACATGCCAACAGTGTGGAAAGAGTTTTACGCAAAGTGGCAACCTTAAAGACCACATTAGAACTCACAATGGAGGAAAAAAATTTACTTGCACACAGTGTGGAAAAAGTTTTGCTCAAAAACAAAAGCATGACACCCACATGACGATCCACACTGGAGAGAAGCCTTACACATGCACAGAGTGTGGTAAAAGTTTCACATGTAAAAGCGCACTCAATAACCACATGATAAGTCACACCGGAGAGAAGCCGTTTGCATGTGCTCAGTGTGGAAAGAGCTTCACAACCAAAACTAGCCTCAAGAACCACATGGATGGTCACTCTGGAATCATAGTGTTCATATGTGATCAGTGTGGAAAGAGTCTCACACGCAAAGACTACATTAAGCAACACATAAAGACTCACTCAAGAGAGGATCGTTTTAGATGCAGTGAGTGTGGAATAAGCTTTAAACAAAAAATAAACCTCAGCGCTCACATGAAGCTTCACAATGCAGAGCAGAGTCCTCAACATTGAGACCTTGTCCACACAAACACGAGTATATTGAAAACGGCAGCTTTTTCATGTAGTTTGGCTGTTCATTGACATGAAGTTTATTTATAAACTACTTTCGAGAGGATCACATGCTTATTATTGTTCACGACTGGTCCAGCATTAGCTAAAACATGATTCACCAATCAGATGATTCCTGACTCCCTATAAATAACAAGAGATTCTTACCTCTGTTAGCTTCGTCGTTATCTTTTAGACTCCCTAAAGCCCTGTTCAGACTACACAATGCCATTTGTCAGTTACGACAGATGAGATTTGTTTCAGATTATGAGATTTTGACTTGATCAAATCTTGATGTGTTGTGGGTAACAAATGAAGACTTTGGTTTCAAAACACTACACATTTATTTTGATGGACTCATCTCAGAAAGAAACTGTAAGTTTTCTTCATGAAGACAATTAAACTTTCTATAGACAACTGCTCGCCTTTAAATATACGTTCATGTGAAAACTCCAACATTACTACATATAAATCATTGTATGAGAAACCCAGTGTCTCTATTGTGAATGAGAACATGAGTGATTTGTTAGCTTACATGCTAATTTCAGTACTCAAATGCAAATCTAAATGTATTTACGTGCACTTTTTTTGTTTTTTAAGGGATAAAACAAAAAAATGTTTATCTTATTGAAAAAATATCAGGCCGAATATTCCCATAATTCTGATAAGTAGCCCAAACTGTGAACAAATTTAGGTTTGAACTACTGCGCACATGTCCACGCAGATCCACTGATGAGCCTTTACACAAGCCACAGTCAAAACAAATGCAGAATCAAAACTTTTAACTATCCTGAATCAATATTGGAGTTAGTTTTCCACGCTGGAGGAAGGACGACACCATGGCTGAATTATTTCTGTTAGACAGGTAATGTTCTGTTTTAAACATCTTTCAGTCATGCAGAGCTGATGTAGATTGAGTTGTTATGAATGGGTTATATGCACAGAAGTGTTGTTCAGCCACTGAAATCTTCTGACGAACAAGTTCAATGCGACTATTTACAGTTTTATAAGAAACCTTTTACAGCATCGATAATGTAGATTTTTATTTAGTTTAACAACAAAACATCAGTAAATAGCGTTATTTCGCTTAGCCTGCTTTACTGAGCTGAAGTTGTTTTTTATTCACATTGCTTTATTTTTGAACAATGAGATCCTGTGTGGTCCCTATAATGTTCACCATGCTACTTTGAATATTCGGTCTGAAATAGCATACAAGTTTGGCTCATTAATAAGTGTAATTCCTGCATGTCGCAGGCTAAACACTAAGCATACAGTCGCGGCTTTAGGACAAAGTGTGTGAGAGAGTGAGTCTGATGAGAGACTGATGACAAGTTTTGCTTGCTAACTACATGACTGAAAACATTCATTAATTTATTTTCTTGTCGGCTTAGTCCCTTTATTAATCCGGGGTCTCCACAGCGGAATGAACTGCCAACCTATCCAGCAAGTTTTTTACAAAGCGCATGCCCTTCTAGCCACAACCCATCTCTGGGAAATGACTAAAAACATGCAAGATATAATACAGTTTTTGTTCAGAATTGTAGTATTATAAAGTACAACTGGTGAATGGCATGATTTAATGGTTCTCTGTCATCTTTAATAAGCGTGTTCGCGATTTCAGGTGGCGTGGCTTTGGATGACATGGGAGGGATCATATTTAAAAGATATCATGCTTACTAGTTACCTTTAAAGGGCACCTATGATGCAAATTCACCTTTTGGAAGCTGTTTAGACAGAAGTTCATTGTTGCAAAAAGGCTTAAATGTTTTCCACCACAAATACATCAAATAACCTTATTATATACCTTAATTAGTTATTTTGACTCTCTGCTTCATCTGTCTCATGTCTGTCTCTGTACTGTTTATCCGAACATGACGCAGTAAAAGTAGACATGCGTGTAGGAACGATGGGTTGAAAGAAGCAGCTCATTTGCATATTAAGGCAATAAAAAAGATGCTAGAATGTCATCTTACTATAAATGTTCATCTTCAGCAGGCTGTAATACATAATTCGATTGGTATTTTGAGCTGAAACTTTAGACCATCTGGAAACCACAAAGATAAATCTTACATCTTGTAAAAAGAGTAAAATTTGATCCCGTCAAGAGTAGTTGGTGGTTATTAAGATCATTCAGAATGAGTAAAGAAATCATTGATAAACTATTTAATTGAACATTTATACATCTTATTTTTCAGTCATATTGTAATAACTGCATACTAATGTCTATTGATGCAAAAATATTTCTTAAATGAATTAAATATTTGCTAATGCTTAACTATTCATAGTGTACAGTTATAAAGTACTACTGAATTAGTTTTTTATTGATGATCAATTGATGATGATTTGCACTTAAAAGGCTGCTGCCAATACCTTTTTTAGGCTGATACAATAATTACCTTCATTTAGGCAGGCTTCTGTCACTGCTTCTGTCAGGCAGGCTTCCGTCCCTTTTGTCCACATTCTCATCTTCTTCGGTATTTGATCTAAAATCATACCATATTTATATATTTGGTAACTATTCTCTTTTTGGGGATGGTATTTCAACAATTTTCACAGACCTTCAATTTGAATGCCATCAATTGACTTTCCCTGGTGGATTCCAAGACAGCCTTTGTCTACTGCAAAGATCAGCTTGGAAATTCTTGCGAGCTGAACTGTTGCTTCAGGGAGTCTGTAGTGATCACAGTGGACACATATATCATGTCCCAGGAAGTCAGCTACCTGATCAAGTTCATTGTGTATAAGATTTAATATTTGTGACAGGGTTGCTATGCGTTTCCTTAGCTGTGTTGAGCGCAGATATTCTGTTTTTTCATAATTTGTGTGTCAAGCAGTCTTGACCATAGTAGTGTGTGAAACATTTTGGCCTGGAGAAGAGATAGACATTTGTTTCCTCTACACCCCATTGCATTCTGTTGTTAATTAGCTGGTTCAAGGATTAAACCATGTCGGGTGTTAGAAGAACAGCAACTTTTTGTTTAAACTTGCCTTGGATTTCAATATGTGAAAAGGGTTCACAGAGCTTTTTTTCAAATTGGGGAAGTCCTAAGGACACGTCATTGAGAAGTGGTTTGTATCACTGTGAGTAAAGTTCTCTAAACGCATTTTGGACACCTCCCCCACACGCCATCAATTAAAAACTATTATCTGCCATAGTGGCTTTCGCAAGATCAGCATATTTTTTTACGGAGATGACTTCTGGCTCATTTTGTCAGAGGTAACTGTTGCAGCCTGTTCCAGGTGAGTGTGAAGAAGCTGTACGTCTTGTGTGAAAGCTGATGGTCTGTTGAACTTTTTTCTCACTATGTGTGTTTAAGGTGAAGTGTGAAACAAGTTCACACCATCTAGAAGCATTTAGAGACTTCAGTTGATTTGATCAAGTCCTCATTTTCTGTCATCAGAGCCCTGCAGTGAATGATAGCTGCAATTTTCTGCAAAGAATGCCCTATTATGAGTGCTAGACTTGGTGCTGTGTAGGTGTGATTTTCTTCATCAAAACCAGACACTTTTTTCCCAGCTTTACAACTTTGTGAAAATTTGCTGGCTTTACAGTTTCTTCATTGGTGATATGAAGTCAGTACGTAAAGCCAACAAGACACGTACAATGTCATTACGGACAACTGACTCATCCTGCCTAATGGGGTCCAGAAGCTTTCAAACACACTAACAGAAATTTTCAGAGAACACAGACTCTGCAGCTTATAAGCTCAAGCCTTTGGCCCTTGTAGGCTCACCTGAGGTTCTTTTCGGCATCTGCGAGTGTGTCACCACAACTTTTTGTGGGAAAACATCCCTTTGCAATAGATGCAGTGAAAAAAATTTTGACTGCTAAGAACTTTGACTGATTTTAATTTGACTTGCCCTGTTCCACTTTTCATGATTTCTACATTGTGCTCGAAGTTACCACGATTCTGTAACATTCAAATGTTGTACAACATTCTGTATAATAATAATAATATTAACAACATCGAGCAAAATCACAGAACAAGCAAAAGTTATTCCTTAACTGGAAAAAAAGAATTATGGATGCAGAGCAATACAAATGAAGATGGTGTCTATGTGTGTACAGGAAATGGAAAATAAAATGTAAGGTAATGGAGATATGTAAAGAAATGATGCCTGAGAGGGCGGCTAGGATGAATGGAGTAGTGGATGTAGCTCACAGGCTGGGCAGACCTGTGCCTGGTCAAGCAAGAGCTATAATCATCCTTTTTTGCTTTGCGATGGATGCGAGATCAATCGAAAGAGGATACATCGGTCCATGCATTGCTGTGACCCCATGTGTTAGACTCTATTGTGCCTGTGCTTGACCCAATCGTGACTGTGCATGTGCTGGACCCCGCTGTGTCTGTGCTGGATCCTACTGTGCCTGTTCTTGACCCAATTGTGACTATGCATGTGCTGGAACCCACTGCTCCTAACCCCACCACTGCTTCAACGAAAAGAAAAAAAG